ATGCCATTTCCCTCGCCTCCCCCCAAAAGTGCTGGCCGAGTCTCTCCCCAGTCATGACCCACCGCCCCAGATGCTGCACATCTCAGCGCAGTATGTATGTATAACCGCCCGCCCTCCCCCCTCCCACGCTGCCCAAACCCTACCCTGATTACTGTAGTACCTACTGGTGTTCGCCATTTGTGGGAGTACTGATTCGTCACACTTTGTTCTCGAAGCTCTATCATCCTTCTTCTGAGTTTGTTCGCAACTCCAAACAGTATTATTCTTCATTGATTGTATCTTTTCATTAGACAACTGAAGATTTTACGCTAGTGTTTAAAAATCTCTCCAGGTTTGAGCGTCTCACTGCTTGTCGTAGATACTCGTTCTCTGGCGGTATGACTTCATTGAATCTACAGTGCATTATCTCTATTGCTTATTTCTTGTTCTGCCTGATTAATGAGGTTTCATCGTATTGGAATTGTGGACCTTGATCCTATGCTGTGTCTGTCAGTTTTTAGGGGGAAGAGAGGTGTCGCGGAGAACTGGTTCGACTAATGAGGGATTGATGTGTAGGAGAATAACTGTAGCAAGCTCCCAGCTACTTGGGAGGCTGAGACAGTAGGATTGCTTGAGCCCAGGAGTTTGAGGTTGCTGTGAGCTAGGCTGATGCCATGGCACTCTAGCCCGGGCAACAGAGTGAGACTCTGTCTCAGAAAAATAAAACCCAAATTTTAAAAACTCTATCTCCTTAAATACTTATTTGCATGGTCTGTTTTGCATGAATTTCAGTTATCCCGGTTTAATTAAATAATACCAGAACCCCAACCAACATGGTTTAAAATTTTGGTTACCACGGTTTAACTCTGAGAAATAGCATAAAAACCAAACGTTGCTACTAGCTTTTCAGTCCACAAATCACTACACATATAAAAGTGGCTCATAATTAGTGATTAATTTACGTCTTCTTTCAAAATCTACAGATGATTGATCAGTGTGCATCTATTATTCAATTCACACACAGACTACAAAGCATGTAGGTCTGTTATCTCTGTGCCCCTGAGATAAATCCAGATGAAATTTTATAAAAATAGGTAATTAAAAGGGGGAATTGGCAAACAAAATGAAAGTGGGCCAAAGAAAAGAACAGTGCTGAAAGTAAAACTCAAATTGAACATAAATGGAGTTAAAGAAATGATAGCTGACTGTGAGAATGTTGACACTGCTGCCATTTAAGAAACTCTAGTTACGCAGACTGAGGAAATCATTGAGGGTAAACTTGTTGACATAAATGAGGAAAAGTGGATCTGATGAAAGGCTGAAGATGTCTCGGAGAAAGCGACATTGGGAAAAAACTTCACATTAAAGGAACTCTCAGAGATATTTCATAATGTTGAAAATGCAAACAATGCTGGAATGTGATATCTAAATTTTTCCTGAGCATAGAACTCACATGTGCAACTCTGTCTTTCACTCTTCCAGTGAATATCTTTATAGGTTCCTCACAATCAACACGGGCAAAATTAAAAGTAAAACTTCCCCTTTAGAAAACCCTATCTCAGAGGATATCACCAACATTCAACTTCCTAATCAAGGTACTTATCAGGGAATCATTATTCATTTCTCCCTTTTCATCATTCACTTATCCAACCAATTTCCATGGCTGGTTGATTATATTTCTTAGAAATTTTCAAAACTTCTTCAATTCTCTTCATTATATCTGCCAACTCCATCAAACCTGGCCCAGGCTTCCATCAACTCTCCTTAATAATTGCGACTTCAACCTAACTTGGCTCTCTTGCTCTTAACTTCAATCCATTCTGCAAGCAGAAAACAAAATGCAATAGCTGTCACCTTATTCTTATCTTCTTACCTCTTACTCCAGCACACAAGGTTTTTCCACATGTAGCTTCTGTCTACTTCTCCAACTTCATCTCTTGTCAATGGTCCCTAACCCCAATCCTCTGCTCTAGTCATTTTGAACTTTGTCCAATTCCTGGCGTATGTCCTACCCTTAACATACCTCCTGGCACATAGTAGGAACTCACTAAGTATGCTGACTGAATGAACGAATCCTTGGAGGATAGCTATTCCTTTGAGGAACTTAATATGAAGGAGAAATACAGTGAAAAGAAAAAGTAACCTCATTTATGTTTACAGTGCTTTCACCCGGGCCCTCGGGCGCACCCACCCGCCTACAAGTTGACAGCATATAAAAGGCATTGTACTTTATTTAGCAAGCCACACAGCAGAAGAGAGAGTAGATACGAATTTTGTGGAACGAAAGTGAGACGAGAAAGTGTGGGGCAAGGCTTACAAACACTGGTCCAAATTCTAACAGGCTTGTTAGAGAAAAAAGTAAGGTTTTCTTTACCTCCGTGTGGACTCCGCTCTCCGGAGGCAAAGAGGGTCCTCCAAACCCGCTTGCCGCGCGGACAAGAACCCCAACATCGCGTTCCTTCACACTGTCTTGAGTGACTGACGCCGCCATGACAGAGCTCAGAGGCGGGCTGTAACAGCAGAGTCTCTCATTGGCCAAGCGGTGATACATACGACCAATGGAGAGCGCCCTTACTAGAAGGGCGCGAGGATAGAGGCGGGTTGGATTCCTCGGAGCAGTGGGCTGAGTCGGCGCCTGGAGTGTTCCTCTGGCTGCGGCGGATCGGTTTGCGACTCGCGCTGGGAGACTGGCGGACGGTATGGGTTGGTCTCAGGGTTTGTTCCGCACCTTGTGGAGAGCGCTGTCAAAAGAAGTGAAGGAGCATGTGGGCACAGACCAGCATGGGAACAAATACTACTATATCCCGGAGTACAAGAACTGGAGAGGTGAGGTGACAGCGAGGGCAGCGGTTGCCTGGTCAGTAAATGAGGGAAAAGTTAAGAGTGTCTCGTTACGTAACGCATCCTGCGACACTCTGGGTGTCACCGGAGGGGAGATACCGAGTTTGTTTGCCGCCCCCCCCTTCACTCTGGAGTCGGACCCCTGCCGGGCCTGGCTCTGGGCGCCTTTCCTTGGCCTGTTTTGTGTCGCGGCCGGTCCTCGCTGTGCCTGCGACCCGGTGTGCCTGGGGCGGCCTGCGCGAGCACGGCCTGGGCGCACACCCCTTTTCTCCCAGTCATGCCGGCGGAGGACCTCTCGGTTTAGTTCGGGCCATTAGGCAAAGTAGACGGGGAGAAGTTCACGGAGATCTTTTACCAAAGAGGCTCGGGAGTGACAGGGAAGTGCGTTTTCTTGCGCCTGTGCGCCGCTTGTGACCCAGAGCTGAGTGGGGTAATTGAAAAAGTGTAACTTAAGCACCTTGGCTTTCCAATTTCCTGGTGTTTACCTTTTTGGCGGTCACCTTGGCTTTGGTGTTGGCCCCATGTGTCACCTTCCTCAAGCCAAAACTTGTCAGAAGTACAAAATGGTACAGCCATTCCCAAAAGTGTGAAAAAAGAAATCCCAAAAGGCTCCCTGTGTCTTTTCTCAAAAGTGTGCATTCCAAGACCCCGTTGAATTCAATTTAAGAAACAGGCTCTAATTGTGGTGTTTCTATGAAGGAGTCTACCAAGTAGTGGAGTGGGTTGTTGGGGGAGTTGGGAGGGGTTCCCGTTGGTTGAAATTGAGCCTCCTGGTAGCTATCATAATAACCCCTTCTGTGTTGTTGGATCACTGCGGTGCAGAAGATGTCAGACTTTGAACGAAGGTGTGCGTTAGAATCTCAGCTCTGACATGTAATAGCTCAGGGATCATGGACAAAGTAATTGTCCTCCCCAAATCTCATTACCCTCACCTGAAAGTTAGAGATAATAATAACAGTAATATTAAGAAACACTAAGGCGTTTCCAAAATTGTGTGCTATTCATTTCCCACACATATAAAATTGTATTCCATGATTTATCACTCAAATTTGTTTGCCTAGCCTTTTTCTTTAACTTATTTTATAATAGTATTTAGACTGGTTTCCCTAATGAACTTCTACACTTTGTCAGCGCAAGGAATATGTCTTAAAAAAGAAAGCCTACAGAGAACCTAGTGTGAGTTAAGTATTATTATAATTGACAGATTGCAAGCAGAGAGAAAGATCTTTCTTTTCCATAAGTTGTAACATTAAAAATGCAGAATGTCAGATCGAGTTTTTTATTTGAACTACAATTTTCATACAGTAACATTTACCCTTTTTGGTATACAGCTTTATGCTGTTTGACAAATGCATACAGCTGTGTAATGGTCACCACAATCCAGATAATAGAATAGTTCCATCACCCCCAGAATTCCCTGCAACCCCTTAATAATTCATTCCCACACCCCATCCCTACCCCTTGACAACCACTGATGTGTTTTATGTTCCTATAATTTTGTCTTTTCTAGACTATCATATAATTGGAAATGTACTAGATGTAGACTTTTGAGTTTGGCTTATTTCACATAGCATAATGTGGTTGGGGTTCATCCAGGTGTCAGTAGTTCTTTTTAGTGCTTAGTAGTAGTTCATTGTATGAGTTTACCACTTTCTCTCTTCACTAGCTAAAAGACGTTTAGGTTGTTTCTAGTTTTTGGTGATTGTGAGGAAAGCCTCTGCATGAGGGAATGGGATGCTGGGTTTTGTGGTAAATGTATGTTTAACTTTATAAGAAGCTATCAAATTGTTTTTCAAAGTGACTCTACCATTTTCTATTCCTGCTAGCAATGCACTAAAGTTCTGTTGTTTCACATCCTCACCAGCACTTAGTATTGTCAGGCGTATTTTTTGTTTTTATTTTGGTCATCATTATAGGTGTATAGTGATATCTCATTGTGATTTTAAGTTGCATTTTCCTGATGACTGAGGACATTGACAGTCTTTTCATGTACTTATTTGCCATATATAGATCTTTGAAGTATCTATTCAAACCTTTTGCCCGTTTAAAAATACATTTATATCAATTTTTTTATACATTCATTTCAATGGAAATATATCATTAAAGGTTTAAATTAGCAAAAACATGTCTATCCCCCAATAACGTGAGTATATTTATTTTTACATATTTTCCTTCAGGCATTCATTTGTTTGAATATTCTCTTACATAATTTTAAAGGCATTTTTTAGAGTTTTATTGAGGTATAATTGACAACAAAAAATTGCCAACGTTTAAAATGTATCATTGGTTAAGTTTTGACACATGTATACGTCTGTGAAATCATCAACACGATCAAAATAATTAGCATATCCATCATCACAAAAATTTCTTATGCCTTTCTAATCCTGCCTTGTGCTGCTTCTATTTCCAGTCTCTAAAAACCACTCATCGTATTCCTGGCACTATAGATTGGTTTACATTTTTAGAATGCTATATAAATGAAAGCATATAGCATGTGTTCTTTTTTTCCCTGGGTTCTTCATTCAGCTATACTTTGTCCACTTAGGTGTTGATCCGCTTAAACCATTTGCTGGGAGAGTACATGGTGGTGCTTGTTTTTCCAATTCTTGAATACTTCACTAGTAGAATGGGTTCCAGCTTATCCAGGAAATAAAAGAATCATTCATCATTGTTCTTAAAGCTGAGTATACTCCATGAATACATATACCAAACATTTATTAATCCACTCCATGAATTGATGGAACTTGGGTTGTTTCCACAGCTTTGCAATTGGAATTGTGCCGCTATAAACATTCGAGTGCAGCGTGTCTTTTCATAAAGTCGACTTTTGATCTTTGGTAGATGCCCCAGTAGGGAATTGCTGGATAAATGGTAGAATCCACTCGTAATCGCTTTGAGGTATCTCCCATAATTATTTCCAGGTTGAACTAAGTTGCAGTCACCAGCAGTTAGGAGTGCCTCTCTCGCTCCGCATCCCCGCAAGCATTGTGGTTCTGGGGACTTTTGATAAAGGCCATCTCACTGGAGTTAAGTGATATCCATTGTGGTTTTGGTTCCATTCTGATGATAGAGAGTTGAACATTTTTCCATATGTTTTTTGGCCATTCTTCTGTCTCTTAGAAAAGTTTCATACAGGGCTTTAAAAGGGGGTTGTCACAGTTGGCTCAGGTATACTGAACCAGTTCACATGTCCTGGCTTTGGGCTAATTGTTGTTTAACTATAATGGTGGTTTGGTGGACCTTATCTCTGATACAATGATCCTCATATCTTGTCTAGGCATTTTGTGAGATGTCACCTTGTTAAGACACTGTAAGACAAACAGCAAAGAATACTTTCTGCCCCTTTGATTACTGGCCTCAGGAAAGGAAACAGGTTTAATTCCAAAAGGGTAGGGGTTTAAAAAGACACGTAAAACATTTTGCTGCCTTTCAGACCTATCCGTTACAAAAAAATAGATGAACCAATACATCAGATGTGCCTTTATCCAGAATAACCTGGCTGATGAACCTGAACACATGCGACTCCTTTACTTAATACCATTTATTCGTATCACCAAAGAGTCTGTGTATTGACCACAATAAGATCAGCTATTCCTACGTGGACCTAACTGACAATTCAGAGTTTTCAAGAATATGATGAAAGATTAGAAATGACCAAACTAAAGTTCATGGCATCCAAAAAATCATTTCATGGATTGAAAGTAATTGTATTGGCACCTTCTAGCCTTTTATCCTTTGATTCACACACATTGAAATAATTATAAAGCCTTACACTAGAAATTTGACCTGAGGTACATAGAGTTTTAGATTCTATCAGGTCTCTTTTAAAATAGCTGGTTTCTTTCTAAACCTGGAGGCTGAACTAATGAAACTAATATTGAAGTAAGGGCATATGACACCAAAAAAGAAAATATTTTGATTTAGTTTGGTTAATCAGTAAAAGTTCATGGATGAGAATAACCAACAGTTTGAATCTTATTTAAATTATAAACGATTAAACCCTGTGGTTCCATTACAAGCAGAATTTTTTAACCTTTTTTCCTAAATCCTAAACCCAAAGAATTATTCCAAGTGATATTTCTTATTATGAACAGCCATTTTTAGACTTGAAAGTAAAAGGTTTTAGATTGGTTGATTCACAAATAAAAGTAACTTTTATTAGTGAAGTTATGAAAAGTAATTAAAGAAGCACCATTTTGATTTAAAATACTACCTTTTCTATTCCAACTAATGGAAACCAAAGTCTGAGAATTGAAACATGCATTATTTTCTTTGTATGAAGGGCTAATTAAGAAAAAAAATGTCCCTTTTTTGGGGGAAAACAAGATAAATATGGATTCAATGCCATGAGAAGAATATATATACAATCAGAGGTTTATTATAAGAGAATAAGTAAATCCTACTGCAACAACATAAAAGCATGATTAATATCTAAAAAGACATTCTAGAAAATACATTGAGAATACTTAATGAACAATGAATGAAATTAGGGATATGAGCTAGAAGAGGGTCACACTGGGAATACACCAACATTAGGAATGCAAGGAGGGCCAACATTCAGAAATATGAGGAGAGAATATCAGAGGTGAAGAGTCTGTGATGTTTTCAGGCTTGATTGAATAGCTGCATGAAATAGTGCCTAAAAGTATGGAGCAGCAGCAGAAGTGTCTGGAATAAAAATAAGTTC